TTTTTTGAATGTTGGTTAAGCATACGTTGTACAGTGTCTTTGTTTCAGTTTCTAATGTGGTTCAAAGAGGATGACTGAGTTAAATTTATGACAGATCTCTTCACTGTATATCATTTGGAACCAGCTGTTGATAATTCCTTGACAGTCACTGCCTTGGTGAAGATTACACTTCACAAAACTACAGACAAGGTTTATGTAATGGAATATTGGAATAATTATTGCATGTTACCCGAAACAGAATGCTTTACCAACTTCTGTCAGATCTCTCACAAGAAATAAATTTCAAAACAGTTTTTTTCTTTGCTCTAAACTATTCTACTATCTACAACACAGCAAAACATAAATTTTATGTAAATTTATGGGCTGTAGAAGACTGTCTTTTCTGAAGTCACTATGCAGTACTTGAATCGGGCATCCTAGGCTATTGCTGAGAGGAGATTGAATATTTAAATGCATTTCAGTGTTAATAGTATGAGGATAGCAGTTTTCAGTATCTTCTTTTATCTTTTCTAGAATTGTGCAGCTCTTTTTCAGTAATGCACAACCTGAGCCTAGTTAGCTTTTATGACACTTTGGTTACAGAATGACACAGATATATTTTGAGTTTGTGCTGCTAGGGAATTGTGATTTAAACATTCAGTGATAAATTTTGGGTCACTCTTGTTACAAAGAGAGTTTCTAAAAGCAGTGGAACTGTGTTCAAATATGTGGTGTTTACCTCAATAAAGCTTGCTTCTTATAGCTGTGTTAGTTCTGGGAGTATAACAGCTGTTTTATCAGTGTCAATGAACGGTGGTTGATCTGTTGTGTGGGTGTGTATATAAGAGAAGGCTTGCTAGCAGACAAATGAGTTCATCATGTCTGAGTATAATTAAAGTAGTTTCTTGTAAATGTTTGTATGGGTGCATACTACTGACTTTCATTCTATTCAAAAACTTTAAGTGTGTGGTTTTTGGTTTTTGTTTTCTTTAAATCTAAAAGTAGTCCTGTGTTTCTGAAAGGCAGAAGCGTTCTTAAACTGCTAATCAACATTACGTATGTAATGGTAGTGGCTCCTCAGTCTTCGTAAAAGCAGCTCTCGTTTGATGTCAAGCTGGAAGGATATATCAGGTACATTTCTGAAGAACTCTCTTCAGTATTTATTTCATGATCAAAGTTATTAATAAGAGTGCGCGTACTAAATTTGTAGATGGTATGAATCTGAGTAGATGTTGCAAGTGCTTTGGGGGACACAATGTAGAAATATCTCTGCTGGGGAAGGTCTAGATAATGGATGTGAATAGTAGAAAAAAAAGACTTAGGTCAGACCTGGTAGGAGGAACCTTTCTAGTGATGGGATGTGTTGCAGAATAATGTGGTAGTCTCAGTAGTTGGTCTAACTTAAGTTGGAAAGCAAGCAAGGAACAAGCATGTTTGACAACCCAGCTGGACATGTAAGATTTAAGCATAATCCTTCCTGTGGCAGCGGAGTAGTCTTCCTGACATCCAATTCTCAGGTTCTGTGGTCTGTTTTCAATTTACCAAGAATATCTTCCTGAGAATGAAGAGTATCTTAGAGCTACTGAATATTTGCCAAATTGTCAAAACAGAGCTTATGCTTGTAATGAAAATGTTTTTATATTAAAATACATTGTTGAACAAATGTTGACAATATCAGAAAGCTAGCATCTGTAAGAGTGTTTATGAAGCCTGGTGAAATGTGGAATTGGCAACTTAGAGCTGGGTAGTCTACGTACTCTAAAATACATTTTTTTAAAGAGATATGTTAATATTTGTCCTTAACTGATGTGCTGTTTGTTTCCCAATTTAATTATGGCTAAGGTATTTGTTCCTGTTAGTAAGGTTTAATAATGCAGATACCTGATTTTTCTGTGTCTAATTGGCAGACCACTAATATTTACAATTAGATGAAGGTGTTTTTTTGACTTTGGTGTGGAGATCAGTATTGTCAACAGTTGCTTTTCTTGGTAGTCTAACTGTAGACCTGTAAAACTGATCAGGCAATGTTCTAAAAATCTGTGCTTTTGTTAGTGCTGCTCTTTTATCAAAACTACCTGGAAGAATGAGGCCTGAAAGCGTGTTTTTTTTTTTTTTTTTTTTTTTTTTTTTTGTGGGCTTATTGGAATTTACAGATAACTCTGTTCCTGACTTTGCACTTTGAGTATTGTGTAGTTTTGGACCAGGCCTCTGTCTCTCCACTTCACTATACTACTTTGTAGGAAGAGATTGACTCATCCAACAGAGCAGCACTATAAAAAACCCTTTGTAGAGCTTTTAGTTGGAGAGCTGAGAACATGAGGAAGACCTGAATCTGCTTCTAGAGTAATTTTTACAGGAAGAAATAACCCAGTATCAGTGATCCGTGGACAAAGCTCTGTTAAAAACACTTTTCCAGTCTTTGGATACTTGGTGATCACCAAATCTCACCTAAGCCCTTGATTTATGTGCAAAAAGTAAAAGGTAGATCAGTGAGTTAAGAATAAACTCTTTTCATGGCAGTTGGATAAATAGCAGTGTTAGGAGGCTTGACTGGTTTTCTAACAACAGTAAGATGAATTTATTAAGAAATCATGTTGTTAGTGACTTTGCCCCATATGTAATAGCCAATTCGGCAATAACTTGGTAGTATTTCTTGAATCCTTTGTTACATTTTTCTTTGGTGCAAGCCTAATCTCTCCTTTTGTTTTTCAGACTGTAAGTGCCTTGGTTTGAAGAGTTTGTTGTTGTTGTGCTGATCTTCCAGCACTGATACTTGTCTTGATCCTTTCTAAAGGTTTCTTGATTGTTCTGCTTGGATGTGAGAACTCTATCTAGAGGGAGGGAGAAAAAAAATATTTCCTGCTGCTAGTCTGTTCATTTAATGCATTTAATTTGTTGTTTCTTAGCATCTCTTATATTGGTTCATCTGTATATGCTGTTTCTATACCATTGCTGAACATGATTAATCAGTTGATATGGTTTTGGCTGGGATAGAGTTAATTTTCTTCCTAGTAGCTGGTACAGTGCCATGTTTTGGATTTAGTGTGAGAACAGTGTTGCTAATACAGAGATATTTTCGTTATTGCTGAGCAGCGCTTACACAGTCAAGGCCTTTTATACCACCCCACCATGTGTAGTCTCGGGCTGCATAAGAGGTTGGGAGGGGTCACAGCTGGGACAGCTGACCCTGACTGACTACAGGGATATTTATTCCATACTATAGAACGTCATACGCAGTATATAAACTGGGGAGAGTTAACTGCAGGGTAGATTGCTGCTTGGGTATCTGTCAGTGGGTGGTGAGCAATTGCACTGCGCATCACTTGTATTTTTGTGGGGTTTATTTCTTTCTTATTTTTATTATATTCCATTTTGTTACTACTGTTATTATTATTTTTTGTTATTGGTGTTATATTTTATTTTAGTTATTCAATCATTCTTGTCTCAAGTCATGAGTTTTCCTTCTTTTTTTCGCAATTCCCCTCCCTGTCCCACTGCAGGGGGAGGGGAGGAGTGAGAAAGTGGCTGCATGGTGCTTAGCTGCTGTCTGGTGTTAAGCCACGACATCAGTAAAAGTGAACTTGGTTCCTGTTAGAAGCCATTTTATGATGGTTCTGTTACTCTTCCTTTATTTGTTTTTTCATTAGTCTTATATAATTGGATTCTTTAGAAAATTTTTCTGGGATTTTTGTTGAGGTTAATTTAGAATAGTGTTGAATGATTTCAACAGAGTAATTTATATCAAGTTATTCTGGTGACATATATCTCTAAACTTGTTTCTATTTAACGATAGTAGGTTTTGTGCATCTTACTTTACAGTTTAACTCTGGCATTGCAGGTGCCTAAAAACCTAAGTATGAGCTCATGGCATAAAAAAGAACTGGCATCTCAAAGTGCAGTTTAAGGCTTACAGATCTGTTAGACTTCCTTTTAGAAGCTGGAACAGTCTCATCTGTTACTGAAAATATGCAATAGCTTGGTTCAGACCAGAATACAATAATAATGACCAGTTACCAAGTTAAGATTTTGTGGCTCTTGCTTATGCTACAGCAGCCTTAGTTCAAAGTGAACTACATCTCTGCTCACTGACTGACAGATCTGCACTCTGTTGTGCAGAGATGTGGAATACACGTTTATTTGGGTCTCCCTATGAAATGTATGTGGGTGTTTATTATGTTTTCACTATCTGGCTTTCTAATAGTGTGTATATCATACTTAAAATATTTTTGCATCATTGACAATTTTGTAGTGTCTAGCTGCAGAGCTTGATTCAGATATCCTTATAGTTCAGGTCGTGTTTCATCAGTTTCGTTCCCTTCTGTGATATACTTCAGCTTCAGGTAATATAGTTCACCTTATCTTGCATTCTTCTGTTTATTGAGAGATGTTTTCCTACCAGTAGGGAGAGCACGGGTAGAAAAAGCAATGTTGGGTTTGAATCTTAAGCCATTACCTTCTCTTGCCTGTTTTTGAACTGGAGAATTTTACTGAATTTTGACACTATTTCTGGACATGTGAACTCTGTTTCCATTGAATCTAGGGATAATATGGGGTTTATGGTGGCCCTGAGCATCTTGTTTTTTTCATAAGGAGCCTTAACATGGCCTCTGAGAATTTTAGGGACTAATTTAAAAAAATCTGCTTCTTCTAGGAGGCTCATGAAATAGCTCCTGAAATCCATTCTAGATAGTACCAGAAAGTATTTCAGCAATTTTGCTACAGCTTTCTGGATCAGACCTTACACAAGACACTTCATCCCATGTATGAGGAAATAAAGCAAGGAATGTTACAGTTGTGTATTCATGATACCTGAGGTATAGTTAATGAGTGTAACAGTTTGGTAGTAGAAGCGCAAATGTGATGCTATAAACAAGATGAGGATAGTTAGATTCTAAACCAGATCTGGGTGAGAAAATAATACCAGAAAACAGAACGGAAATTATGATCAAAACAGCACAAGTATAATCCTCTTGTAATATAAGCACCTGAAAAGTACTCATTTCTTGTTTTTCCAATTACAGGAACTTGCCACGAGGTGCTGAAGCCTTGTTTCATTGATTCGGGGAGACTGGACCTAAATGGCGCAGCATGACTTTGCTCCAGCCTGGCTTATTTTTCCTACTCCACCACCATCAACAAAGGTATGTTCTTTGTTGTTCTTTTGAACAGGCATTCTCGTTATTAGGGAAATTTAAATGTCATAACCTCAATCAAAGTAAAAATGCCAGTCCCTTTATGAATAGGATGATAACAGATGATATCTAGCAAGTCTTGTTGTGATTTAAGTAGTTGTACTGTGGCTGTTAAGCTTATACCTCCAGTAGAGTTTTTTACTTGAGCACATGAGTTCATGGGAAGAAACATGTGCCTGGCCGCATTATCAGAACTGTTGTTGGATTAAGATTGCCTTTGTCGGGAGCTTAAAATCAATTACTGTATTTTGTGCTAGAAGTACCATGATGGAGGCATGTGCTTGATGTTCTTACTTAGGATTTTGCTCTATGCCCTATAAATTTTACAGAAGTGTTACTCTGTCATCCAAACGATTAAAAAAAAAATGCTTTTGAAATAGATCTTCTGAATCTTTTCACTTGCTGGTGGGATGCCTGTTACTACTGTTGAAATGTGGTGCTTTCAAATAGTTGTGCATCTTCACTGTGGTTGTTTCATCTTGGTTACCATTACTTACTTTATACAATGGGACAGTTGGCTTGGAAACAGGAACTAGAAATATCTGGTTTGTTAGGATTTGTAAATATTCCAGGAAGTCAGGAGTATGTTTATCTCATGAATGTTTCTCTTTTTTTCTGGCCTATCCTTCCACTCTTTCTTAATTTGTGTGAATGCAGAAGCAGAGGCAACACTGGATATTCAAACTCCTGTCATATATTTCCTTATTTGTAGACCTGTCGTCTTCATTATAATCTTCTGAATGCAGTTTCCTTATCTGCAGCTATGAGAGTGGCATTACCATACTTTAATGTATTTATGTAAGTTTCTTGCTGTCTTTCATGTGCATGAAAAATGTTTAGCCTTCATAAACTTAGGGAAATAGGCTTGAGGTATTGTTTAAATGCAGTTAGCCATCAGTATTAGTAGTGTTCCCATTGCTTTGCTTATATATGTCTACACACAAACATATACATGCCTTATTTTAGTCAGGTCATCGAATGTCATTATTCACGTTGCTCTATTTGTCTGTGTTCTACACTGACCTAGGTAACTTCTTTGTTTAGTATAGTCTATCAGCAGTGCTTAGTTGTTCTGGGAACTTTAAGCCTATCTGTTCCAGGATGGCTTCTGTGATCTGTTTGTTTTCATTGTACGTGATTTCTGATATATTTAATTATTTTGATCTGCTTTTTCCAATTTAATATATTTTCAATTGGAAGAGTAATTAGAGCTTAGTTTTAATAGGTGTCACAATTAGAAAGCGGTCTTCATCATATATTTCATGCTGCAAGAGCTTTCCCTGCATGCTTGAAGTGTCAATATAGCAGAATAAAAGTTAATTTTAGAACTACTCCAGTACCACTCGAAAATATGAGGTATGGGTTGTATTTGTGACCTCAGTTCTTGAATTGTGGGAAACTTCATTGCAACCACGTGTTGTGGATCCTGTTCTGTTATTCTTTGCTTCAAGGAGTTTAGATAAACTTTCTTTCATCTCTTCCGAAAACTCTGTAGTTGCATGCTTCCTCCATTATAGTCTTTGTGCTTCATTGTTAGAAATGCGGCTTATTTACTTGCGTTACCTCCTCCCTCAGTGATCAGCATTCTGTGATATACAGCACACTTGCGAAGTCTTCAGGTTGTACCTGATGTGTAGCAATTCTTGGCTTACAGAATAAGGCTTGTCCTGTCATTCCTTTGCAAGGCAGGTCTCAAACATGGACTCCTGTCCTCTCCACTTGCTAGAATAGGTTTTATTTCTGTTTCCCGTATATCAACAAAGCAACTGAAGAGAAAAACAGGTAAGAGGGATAGGGATGAAGAGGAAGGATGGGGAGAGGAAGGCAAGGTGTCTCATGTTTCATGCAGAATGGAGCTGGGGTGAGACTATGGTATCAACATCATTTAGACTTGAGAAAGAGAAACAGAAGTCTGCCTGGTCAATTTCTATTTCCCTGAAGGCGAACTTCTAGGAATTAGGCTTGGTTTCCCTCCTCAATCCTGGATAGGCAAGGCTTTTCTTTACAAATAAATGCTGGGACTGTGAATGAGCTTTCTTAATGTGACTGATAAAGATTAGATTGACTGAAACCTATCTCGCCTATTGCTGATGATTTCCTCTTAAAGATAAGCTTTTATATCATATCCCTGTCACTTCATAGCAAAATCCACCTAAATAGCTGGGTATCCATTGCTCAGTAGCTTTTCAGGTTTGGAACTACTATATTTGCGTCAGTGCAGTATTGCAGTTGGGCAAATGGAAATGGGAGGGTGTTGTGAATAGTGAAGCCATCTTGGAAATGGACAAAACTTTTCAGAAAGGATTGCTATAAAACCTGTGTGAGGAGATTGCAGGCAGACTGATAAACTCTGTTTTTACAAGCTTACTTTGACTTCATGTTAAGCAGTAAGATTACTTCTTATACTTCAAAAAATCTGTGTTGCTTGCTTTCTTGGCTGGCTGAATCTCGTCAGATAATTTCTCAATTTCCAGAAATTGCCAGTTGATTTCCTGTTGATTACAAAGTTTACTGTTGTTTCTGCCAGACGATGCTTGATAGACACCTCCATCATGTGGGGGAAAGGCAAACTGCATGAGTCTTTGCACACAATTTGGAGACTTTAGATTCATTATATGATGTGCAACTCAAACATGCATATAAAATTCTGTCAGTTATACTTTGTGAAAATGTGATTGATCTTTAATGTTCATAGAAAAAAAAAAAAAGAAAAATTCCAAAGGCAATATTAGAAAATTTTCATATGTAAACTAACACATGAAACTAGGTTCTAAAATTTAATCTGTGATCAACAGATCTGGAGCTTTCTGAAATTTTTGGCAGCTTATTCAAAATCTGTTTAAGGATTAATTTTTTACTTAAATATTGAGATTCATTATGATAATTTTTGAACTAATTATATTTTTATATTTTCTTGTAGTTTTCTGTTTTTTCTGACTACAAGTTTGTCAAAGTAATTCACTTCTCAGATCTCAAATTGAGAGGGCAGTTCCTTTTCATTTGACTTCTGTATGGTTTGGAAATACATACTCTATCTTAAATATGTCTGTTGCTTACTTGAGTTCAAATTTTAAGCAGTGAATTTTGAACAGCACCTTGAGCTCTGCTTGGGTATTGTCAGTAGAACTTGGGTATCGTTTTTCTTGGTGTGATGGTCTTGTGTAGGGGTGAGGGAGATGAGAAGGAAATTATTTTCTTGAACATTCAGTGTTTTCCAAAGTTGTGAAACGTATTACTGTGAATTCTTTTTTCTCCGTACTCGCTTTGATCAGTGGACTATTTTTAATATTAATATAGTGTGATTAGATGTTAGTGGATAATAACAGTCAAAATAACCTTGGGGTTTTCGTTTTCAGACATACACTATTACTGCTGTACTTTTTTTTTCTTCCCCTGAATGTTACTCAGTCTGGAGAGGCAGTGAGCTTCAGGTAGTGAAGTTGATAATTCAGGTGTGATAAAGTTCATACTCCCTGGAATCAATAAGCTTAGTTTGCTGACACAGTACTTTTCCATGCAGCTGTGCATTTATGCATTTGTAGCTTTTATGGCTCTGGGACATGTTGGTTCTCTTGTATGTGTGCAATACAGTGGACATATATATGTACAGTAAGTCTACTGGGAAGGAAGGGAGCTTTGCTTCATCTGCATCAAAGGCTGTCTTGTGTGGCCAGGAGGTGCTGGGTAACACAGCCCTTTGTTTTTTACTGGGAGATGTGTGTTGTGAACAACAGTAAGACTAAGCACTACTTCTGCAGAATGAAAATTTATTCTTTAATTTTTAAGATGTAATGGTGAAAGAAATGTTACAGTGTTAAAATAGTAAAGCCAGATAGAAGTAATAGAGAAGACATGATCTTTTTTGGTTTAATCTCCTTAGGTATGAGTTCTAGTCAGGATGTATTTTTGAGTGCCATTCTCAACATGAAGTTTTAGTTTATAAAGTACTTCCTACTGAGATATTAAAGATTTATTTCTTTAAAATTTCTACAATGCCTACTTATAAGCTGATAATTTGAAGTATATTTGTTCATCTGTACAATTTTGAGTCTAGGTTTTATTTGTATTTCATAACTAGTTGCATTTGCCTTATTAAGTTACACTGACAAGACTAATAAATTGGGCCTTTTTTGGGTATAGCGGCCTCTGGAAGTTACTTCTTGCATTCTATGGAATGTGCATGCGTACTCTCTGACCACCCAAGTTAAGATCCCAGACTTTACTTCTGCCTTCCAAAGTGTGATCTTGTGTCCTTTCTAACTGTTTTTATTTTTCCTCTGCTGCAACATGTCACTTGTGCTCTGTTCTGCTGCCCACACAAATGTTGTGGTTTGAACTCAGCTGGCAGCCAACCACCACACAGCCGTTTGCTAACCCTTTCCCCTCACCTAGGAAATTAGAGGAGGGATGAAAAGGAAAAATACCTGTAGGTTGAAATAAAAAACAGTTTAGTGATTGTAATGTAACAGAACAATAATGGAGAGCCCAAACGAGTAACACACAATGCACTTGCTCACCACCTGCTGGCTGACACGCAGCCTCTGCCCCCATCAATGATCCTGACAGAAGGGAGATTTTCACTGCGAAAATCCTGTCGCACCAACCTGAAGCAAGAGAGAACCCACCCCCTTTATATACCAAGCATGATGTCACATGATATGGAATGCTCCAGTGGCCAGTCTGGGCCTGGCACTCCAGCTGTGCTCCTTCCCAGCTTCAGGAAAGTTAACTCTATACTGGCTGAAATCCGGGTCGAGTACTCTGGCTATGCTGTCTCCCAAATCTGGAAAATTAACTCTATTCCCTCTATCCCGAACAGTCTCCACCCCTTATTCCATACCATTTATGTTTCACTCAGATTCCCAAGCATTCTTAAGTAATCACCACCCCTTTCCCTGGTCTCACAGATATCATTCCCTTAGTCTATGGGCCATTCTTCCAGAATGTCT